ATAGATTCTTCATTAAATCATATGACAGGTTATTCCACTAAACTTACGAGTTATATTTGAAATGGCTCACTAAAAATTCGTTAATACACAATGGAATCTGTAAACAGAGCGATTGCATTAATATAGCTTTGAGTTTGAGCAAATTCCTGTCTATTCAAGCCAAACAAGTTAATATGATCTTCTTCGTATAGGAATTCAATAATTCTTGAAATTCACTCGTGTATTTTTTTTGTTTTACGAACTCTCTCTGCGTAATAAGATAAATGATAATTCACTTCAAAATATTTTTATGTCCTTTTCCCTTTTGATTGACCCCCCCCCCCCTAAATACGTTGATCGGACATGAGAAAAGCCCATACAAGTGCATTTTCTAGCTTTTAAAAACCATGCTTTAGAATACCTGCGAACATGGAATTTTTTACATGATCTGAAAATTATGATTTTTTTGCCGAGGCCAAAGAAAAAAAAATACCTAAAATGCTTCCCTATAACGCGACCTACCCAATTTAATTGCGCCGACTAAAAAGATTTTTTAAATAAGATGATAATTCAAATAATGTTTTTTTATTGTTAACCAGGTTTTATAAAATACATGTACAATTTCATCAAAATCATTTTTTTATCAGAACTGCCGACATTGTTCTACTGTGATTTTCAAGCATTTGTTGGAAACAAAATGACGCCCAGATGTGATTATAGAGAATTAGTTCTTCATAAAACAACGGCGACGTATCAATCTTATGCCTTTGGCTAATAAGAATTCTTCACTCTTGAAACAATTCGATAATAAGTTGTGACATTAAACAGAACATGTGAGAAAAAAAATTTACTTCAATTATGTGTCTAAGCACCTTTAATAAAAAGGTGCATTATAATCCTACAGTCATCTCTATCGCCTTTTTACGTGACGTAATATTACAAAAAAAATGACGTTCCTAATACATTTTTCCATCAAAACAATACCATATTGCAAGATCTCGTTTTGAAAAAGTATAATAGATATCGAAAAAAGAAAAACGGTTATAAAAAGCTTAAAGTCTACACTATCGATAATAAAAATCATGTTAATTTTGGGGATGAGGCGATATTTTTTGGTTCGTGGATTAAGCTCTTTTATGTTTGTGTTGTTTGTTTTATGGAAGTTATCAACATTTTGTTATTGCATGCGCGACGCTCTGTTACCCGTCTACATGCGTTTTTTTTAACGTAATTGACTTAATAAACGAATTAATATATTGGATAAATGGAATTTTTTGAACAATATTTTTGTTAAAATATATTAAGTATACAATTACCAACCGAATGATATATAGATTTCATATGGTGAATTGTTTAAAATTACAAAATAGGGCAAATGCCGCCGCAATAGTAATTTTTGACCTTTTGACACCAACATCGAGCGCGACGTCATATGTTATTTTTTAATTCATATGTTTTAATATAATACAAATATATATCTAAGTATTGGGCGAATCTTTTATAGGGCGAACAAGATTTTGGGCGACAAAAATTGCGGGCGAACGGACTCCCGCGAACAGGTAGATCGGGCGAACAAACCCGTTACCAAAGGGAAGTATGAGTATAAGTAGGATTACCACTTGTAGAATTAAATCCAAGTAAGGAATCACTATTTAGTTAGTATAGTATGTCAGGGCATCAACGATAGTAAGAAACATGGGCTAATTTATTTGCATTACCAGTGGCGTAGCTAGACTCAAAAGGAAGTGCATGCTAAAATTGGCAAGGGGTCTGGGGGCCGCCCTGAGGCCCCCAGTGGGTCCAGGGCAAAGCCCTGGTGGGGCCAAGGGCATTCAATAAAGTTAAGAAAATGAATGTCTTGACACCGTTTTATCATTAGAAATAAAACCAAGGGGTCTATATGACAGTAGTCTTGGCGAGATCCATATAGAGACACCAGACCAAATTTTTAGTCTCTACTGATCTCACTGTGATTATCATAGTAGTAGAGAGACGTTTTTTTTTTCTATATCTTAAATCATAAAGTTGAAGAAATACGGGCTATCGTAGTTTATTAATTAGCAACATTTAACTAGATTGGTTATTTTTTGGCAAGTACAAAAAGTTTTGGCAATGTTTTTTTTTCAAAAATTATTAGAAAAGTCGAGAAAAAACAAAAAAAATTAGGGTTAATGTTTCAGATAGTGGACAAATATAAGCCGATAGCTTTAGGCCACCGAAGGTAAAATGTTTTTTTTTTAAGTTGCCCAGAACAATTTAATTACATTCACAAGATATATTAAATCATTTGGTCTATTCAAACCTAAAATTTAATTTGAGTTGAGAAAATTAAATAATTATACGGTTTATCCACATTCATAATTTTATGAGTTCAATGTAGGAAAAACTGCATTTATTTTCATAAAAAAAACCGTGTAGATTAATTAGTAAAAGTTTAATATAAATGATGCTAAATCTGGCTGCATGGTTAAAATACATTATACAGTTATTGATTGGGTATAAGGACAACATATGATTTGGACCTGAAGGTGAAAATGTTGCCCGAGGCCGCAGGCCAAGGGCAACATTTTCATATATCAGGTCAACAGTAAAGAACAAATCATATGTTGCCCGAATCCCAGTCTATAACTGTTTTGTTATACCCTTCATTGCTCATAGATTGTTCAATTTAATCAATACACTCTATCAATTATTTTATATGGAAAATATGGCTTCTTCAGTAAATATAAAACATCAAGCTGAGAACGAACAAAATCAATTATATACCTATTATATAACAAAAAATATTTATCACAAAACCTACTCTTCCCTTCCGTGCTGTTAGCAACAACTCTTGTAGCTCTTAACTTCGGCTATTTTCGCGTCGCCGATATTGAAATGATTAATTAATTGTGACGTAACAGACAAGTGACGTTGCGGTCTAACAATTCTTATGTAAGACCGGTCAATAGTGAAATTGTTAGACCGATGTAATAAACAGTTCTTTTGTTGGACTTTTTATAAGTAATAAATATATAGAATGATATTTATAAGGGTATAACAAAATTTTATAATCTTTCATTACACCCGTAAAAATGCAATCTTTCATCGTTAACATACATGTACTTATATGTTTATCAATTCTTCATGCCACATTTTTTATTTATTTATCTTATTTTATTAATTTTTTATTTTTTGCAAAATGATGTGCATGCTCGAGTATACAAGCATACATAGCTACGCCACTGATTACGGATTTCGCATTAATTATTTCTGATAAAATGTTTCCCACTATCGTTGATTAAAGTGGCACTATATTAGTTAACTAGACAGTGATTCTTATATTTGATTTAGATTTTAAAAATGTAGACATAGATTTGACTTACATGAGAACTCCCATGCAAATTCGCCAAATGACGTCAAACACAAAGGCAGCCGCACAAGATTTACATGCATATTTGCCTTATTTGGCCTCCATAGCGTCAGACACAGAGATCGACAAATCATTTAATGGCCCAGTGGCGGATTTAAGGGGGGGGGGTGGCATTTTCCTTTTTTTTCACTAAAAATTGTCAAAGTTAGCGTAAATCATAGTTTCATCCGGAAAATGTTAAAATGTTTACTCGATGGACCTCATTTTTACCCAACAAAATTTCTAGAGCTTCCGGGGGCTTCGCCCCCTGGGCCCCCACCAGGGCTTTCTGGACCCACTGGGGGCCTCAGGGCGGCCCCCAAACTAGCCTAGTACCTGAGGCACTCGGAAGGCCTCGGGTACTAGGCTACCAAACCCCTTGCCTAATTTTGGCGCCCCCTCTAACTCCAAATCCTATGCGCCTGGGTAATAGAGATTTGCATATTAGGCCTTCTGCAGAAAGCTCTTGACCTATCTTATATTCTGGTAGAACAAGCAAGAAATCACTTAAAATAACTTTCAAATAGTTATCACTGAGAAATGAATTAGAAATGGAAAATAATTGCGCGTAGAACTCGATATCAATTTCAGATTTGGTATATGAAAAAGGTATTCCATGTGGTGTTTTGACGTTTTTTGGTGTTTCTTTATTTGAAGTAGATATAGGGTTTCTCCCAAAAACCGAGGTCTCCTGTGGTCCATTGTACCATAACATGAATTTTTCAGGGAAATAGGTAAATATAACATGGTTCGGTTTGAAAAAAAATTATACACCCAATGAGTCATTCAAACCTGTACGCTGAAAAAATCCTCAATCATAAGGCCTACGTGCAAAACGCAAATTTCTTTGGCAGGTTTTTCACCTACATGTACACAACTATTATTAGGGAGGTTGACAAGTGGAAGTAAATTATTGGATGCAGTTAGACAAGGCTTTAAATGTCTCTGAACTCTTTACAGGTGCCCTACCAACAAAGCTGTTGATCACTTGCACTTGCAAACTACCACACATAACTATAACCTGGCTTCATCCTGGGGTCTGAATCCTGTAACAAGGGCTGGTACATGAATGTCACAATTTTGGGTAGAGGGATTATCATCTAGTATTCTCTTTAGAGAAGTGGACAGGCTTACAGAATAACAACATGACGGCTTGAAGTGGATGTTGGTGAAAGCCTGCATGTCCACTTCTGTAAAGAGAATAATCATCAAGCATATATAGCTAAAATATCCAGGAATAAATAGGAATTTTTACAAATATAATAATTTGCATTAATAGTGATGATTTTTGTTCCATCATAGAGACTGTCAGTCCCATTGCCAAAACTGATATCAGAATTCCAAACTTTATTTTGTCGTCCTGTACATATACTGCTGAATAGAAAATTTACTTGAAACTATGGTGCATATTTCAGAGAATCAGCTGTTAAGCTATCATTGTTTAAACATCAAGGTTAAAGGTGTTAACTAGGATTCCTCATCCAAAAGATTTACTACAGGTGCAGATCCAGAATTTTTTTCCAAAGGGGTCCACCCTTGTCAAAAAAAAGAATTCCAACCTAGAAATTTCTTGACAAGCAAAATAAAAAAAGACCCTCCTGTAGTTCTTCGCATGTACTATATCTGATAAATTCAGAGATTTCAATTTATTGCTTTGTACTTTTCAGTAAAACTTATGGGAATGTGTTGGTCCTAGATGGAGTGATACAATGTACAGAGAGAGATGAATTCTCGTATCAGGAAATGCTGGCTCATTTACCACTGAACTGTCATCCTAATCCCAGAAAGGTAATAAAAGTGTACTTTGATATTCATAGTTTAAGAGAAAATAAAGTGCAGGAAAAGTAACAATGTGCTATGAAAATTGTCTGCTGTAAAAAAAAAAATATGCCCCTAGCTGAGATAAAATATTTTGCACCTAGTATTGGATCTAGTTTTTTTTTTTGTTGCTTTGTTTTGTAAAACTGTAAAAAGTTTACCTTTGAACCAAAGGATAAAATTTTACTCTTCATGGCATTTTACAAGGTCCATGCATTGAATGTGTAAAGATATTCTGCAATCTAAATGGAAATGATAGATCATATACATGTATAAAATTCAGTAGCCTATGTTTCTGAGGAATTGTTGCACTGATTGGTTCTCTAACATTTACACCAGGTGCTGATCATTGGAGGGGGAGATGGTGGGGTTCTTAGAGAGGTCGTCAAACACCCTGAAGTTCAGTCAGTGGAAATGTGCGAAATTGATGAGGTATGTCCATATAAATTATATTTTATAACATAAAAATAGCAAGATGGGATTGTAAAACTCGTTTGATTTCCATATTGCAGTTTATAGCAAAGGTGAAAATTTTTTAAAATACATGTCAAAATCCAAGGTCAAAGGTAAAAAAATCCTGGTATCAAATGAAAGGCATTTTGTCTAAAAAAATATTTCTGTGAAATATGAAGTCCCTAGCTCAATCCATTCAAAAGTTTTGACCAAGGTTTAAGTTAAGTTTTTCAAAAGTAGTGCAAACTTCAGGGTCAAGGTCATAGGGTTAAACTTCACTTGTTAGTACCCAAGGAAGGTCTTCTAACAACTAATTTACCTGTGAAGTATGAAAGTTCTAGCATTAACTGCAAAAAATGTTGCCAAGTTTAATGTTTGGTAAAATTTTGCAAAAGTGGGTCAAACTAGGTCAAGAGGTCAAATATGTTGATTCCCAAAGAAAGTCTTGTCACAATGAATACTCATAGAAAATATGAAAGCCATAGATCAAATCAATCAAAATTTAATGACAAGAATAAATTTTTTGATGACAAACATATGGATGGACAGGGCAAAAACTATATACCCCTGAATTTTTCAATTAAAGGGGCATAAAAAAAAGAAACAGAGCTGAGTTTAATCTAGAAATAAGCAATTTATATATAAATTATACATAGGCACTTTTTTTTATTTAATAAGAATTTTCACACAGATAGCTAATGAGAAAGTGAAGAGGCTTGTGGGCCGCGACTTTCACCTGCCTCTAATCAATGAGTTTCTAAGGCTGTGAGAGATTAAGTACCACTTCATGAATGGACATGAATTTTATTATTAAGTAAGGGTTCTATGTTTATTACACATATAGTACTCTTTGGTTAGGACTTAACATGGGTATAAATTTGGTTCAAGAATACATGTATCGGTAAAGAATTCACAGAAAATTGATTTTTGATTTTAGTGAAGATTGTAAATTCGGATCCTACACACTTAAACTAAGTTTGTTAATAATATAAATTTTATATTATTAACAAACTTAGTTTAAGTGTGTAGGATCCGAATTTACATTATTAACAAACTTAGTTTAAGTGTGTAGGATCCGAATTTACAATCTTCACTAAAATCAAAAATCAATTTTCTGTGAATTCTTTACCGATACATGTATTCTTGAACCAAATTTATACCCATGTTAAGTCCTAACCAAAGAGTTGAAATACTCATGTATGACTATATGACAGTTTATGGAGGAAAAATAAAACATATATTAATACATATAGTCTTTATTCATTCAATGCAACAAATGAAAATAAATTATAAGTTACATAAATTTAATGATGTATAGGTAAATATGGACTCTGAAATTTCTTCCTCGGACTTCCCTAAAATTTACTCCTCAAGTCCTGGACTTGACCATGACAAAAAAAATTTTGAACCCCTGATCCAACTACAAATCATGGGAGATCCTATATATATGCGAGAATTTAATTTTCGTGAACGCATTTTCTCGCGTATTTACGCAAAAATAAAGTTCTGTGAATAAAAAGTGATTTACAGTCTATTTTCAATAGAATTTTGTATCATTAAAAAAATGATTTATTAAAAAGATGTGTTATAAAGTAAATAAGTACTTAAAGGATTTTCTTCATTTTGTGACTTACTATATCGGACCGACAAAAATCACTTCAGAGCGGCTTATTTTGTTTTCTTGCCAGTCCAAATGACCGGCTGTGTAAAAGTTTTCCACAACTCTGCAATCTAACAAGTTTCCTTTCTTGGGATAGAGAGTATGTAACTAATACCCCATTCATATGACAAAAAGGATGACTGCACTTAAGGAAACTTAGAAATTGCGACATAATTAATTTTAAATATGGGCATATTTCTTTTAATGGTAGAAATGGCCAATGCCTTGACTGCAACTTTATGTAATTACGTTAATTAAAAGTTCGTATTAACGAAGTTCAAAGTCGTTTTTATAGGGAGGGGTCATCGCATATTCTGGAATCTTCATAGGATAATGAGTACGCCCACCTTTTTACAGGCTTAATACATAGTCAGCGCATGTTTGTCTATTGTTCTCCTTTTAATGGTAGTTGTATATTTATATATATTACCTCATATTAAAAGGAGATCAATAGACAAACATGTGCTCATGGTTAAAAAGAGAAAAAAACTGTTTCTTCGTGTGTTCACTTTCTCTATAGTAAACAGGCCATTTTGACCACGTTGTTACCTGTTGAATATTATAATTTAACCACGTGATTTTTATACCTAGGTAACTCTGTGAATACTAAAATTCCATCACGTGACGTGTAAGGAAACACGCATTCTGCTGAGCGATAGTGATTGTCCATATCTTTCAATCCATTCCCATCGAGGCACGGGCTATTCTTTTTTCTCTTAGATATCTATAAGATTATTCTCATATTTATATTAAAAGCGTTTCATTTTACTATATTTATATATTTTCGAGTTTATTTTATGTCTCTGTTTGTAGTCTACAAGAAAAAAGAGATTTATTTATTATGTTTTGAACCATCGCTTATCATGAACATCCAAAGTAAGATCCAGTAAATAAAAATGAAATAATACCATCCCCAGCACGCTAATTTATGGGGAGAAGAAATTAAGAAAAACTTAAGTAATTGTGACGTTTTTCTTTCTTTTTTTATTAAAAGGGAAAAAATAAAGCAAGTCTTAATGTTGTTAGTGTTTCATCCCGGACCTCAATATTATTGATTCTGTGCATTACCGACTGAGCTAGTCGGCACTTATATTCGAACACGAGAATTGTTGACATCAGCCATTGCTGTTGATTATCAATAGCTAAAAAACAATAGTGTCAAACATATGCCGAGAGAGAGAGAGAGAGAGAGAGAGAGAGAGAGAGAGAGACCAAATATAAATACAGTAACTATTCTAATTTTAGACTACTCTTCACAACATTAGCTCCGCCTCGTATGCATATTTATAAATCTTATCTCCAATCAAGGGCAGATAAGTCTAATTTCCCGATATTTGCAGAGAGGTGGGGTAAGAAAACAACGAATTAATTTATTGCAACGCAGTTTATAACCTTTATGACATTGCCTTTCATTTGAAAATAGACCAAACTCTATAACAAATGACTTAAGGCAAAAATAAAAATAAAAATAAATGTGAAAACAGAGATTGAAAAAAGACCCAAAAACCGGCATAGTGCAGTATCTTTTACTTATGTGTGCAAATTTACATGTAAGTAAAAGTTAATTTACTATGCGTTCAGATGAGATTATGTGCTGTAAGTAAATCCTCACATTTTCATAAAAAATAAGGAGATGTACGGATTCACAATTGTGATTTTTTATATAATAAAAGGATAATTCCTTACTGTTATAAGACTAACTTTTAAATCTTCCTGAAAGAAACTGGGGGGGGGGGGGGGGTCCGTTCCACTGATTTCTTGTACAACTAAATTAAAGGAAGAAGAATGATATAAGAATTTCCACACGAACAGTCTTCGACAAATCCCGGGAGTCCGATGCCCGGGACCTGGTAAAATTGAAAGCGGGCATGTGGAAGTTGCACACTTACAAGCCCGAAGGGCATGTAAATTCTAAGGCATAAGCCTCAGTATAATAAAATTAAATACGACCAATAACACTAAATGTACTTTAAAGTCTTTTATTTTCCATCTAAAGTGAAGTTCAAAATAAAATTTAACTGAAATCTTATTTTACCGCGATTTCCAAGGAACTCTTCTGCAAATGAGACACAAATAGTGTACAGGTTGAAAACAAATGGCGAGACTATAAATTGACTGAATGGATTTCAGATCATTTCCTTGGCATGAAAAGGCAAATAAGAATAATACTATACTTGAAGTAATATACGCCGTATGGATGCCGATTTGTATGTGAAACAAAATGATTAAATGATTTGAAACACATAAAGTGTAATGAAAAAATAATATTTCCA